TCTCTCTCTCTCTCTCTCTCTCTCTCTCTCTCTCTCTCTCTCTCTCTCTCTCTCTCTCTATCGCTGTCTGTGTCTGTCTATCTCACTCTCAATCCCTCATTCTAATTTATCAAATTCAAAAGCAAAATGCAAGCGTGTTAAAGAACAATTTTTTGTGAAATAGCTGAGCATTAAGAATGATGATCACCCTTTCGAGCCTCGTAAAGTGTGTTATATTATTTCTTTGAAAGACCACCAATACTCTTTGACAACCCATAAATAAATGATGATTGATTGCACACTTTAAAGAGTTGCAGGGCACATTACAATACCCCCTTATTAGAAAATTAACTAAGTTCCGAACTGAAACAGAAAGGAAAAGGTAATGGGGCTGAGACATTTCAATTGATTACGAAAGATGAAATAAAAAAAGGATATGACATCAGTTATTTTTAACCTGCCACTCGAAAATAAGGTCACCGAAGCGTGTCCTTGAGTAAGGCACATTAACCTCAGCTCTCTCAAGAATAGCTTTTCTATAATTCTAAAAAGATGAGAATGCGGAAAACACAAAGAGGGAATTTGAATATTGATTAGGTTTATTTATGTGCGTTTCAGTAAGCTGAGACGATTTAATTACCATAAAGTAATGGTATTAGAGTTTACAGCTCGGATGTAAAAGATTGCAACAAGCAAAGGGGAAGATGAAAAAAAAAGCTACATAAAATCATGAATCTTCGGATTTCCGGGATTTAAAATGCAAATGTCGTCTGTTTGTATTTTTGTTGTTTGTTTGTTTGTTGTTTTTATTTTGTTTTTTTTCGGGGGGTGTTGTTTTTGCTATTGTTGTTGTTTTCTTTTCTTTTCTTTTGTTTATGGGGTTATTGTTTTTTGGGTTTTTTGTGGGTTTTTTTGTTGTTGCTGTTGTTTTTTCTGCTACTATACTTTAGAGCAATCTGCAATGACATCCAATTCCAATAACAGTGAGGGAAAAACAGCTTCGTTTGCAACGAGCAATAACGATGCTGATTCCTCGTTTTCTTTTCAGATATTTTTATTCTCCATTTTGTTCCTTCAATTTAACAGTGCAGGCACTCATAAAATCCCTTAGAATTGACATAACAAAATAGAACAGACCGTCGGAGAATTCGAGAGCAGTGATATTCGAGGGCTGTCTCTTGCACAAAGGAGGGAGGGACATTGTCCATAGTACGATTGTTAATTGTTAGGCTGTGCATTTGGATGCAACGCGCAACAGAGTTGGACACGATTTCTACTTGTTTACCCGAGATATAATTAAATCCAGTAGTTTGATACTTTTTGCAGATTTGTTTATTTCACGC